GGTTTGTCCCCTTTCTTGTTCTGGACAGGATTTTTGACCGTTAAATATTCAGGGTAAGCTGGAAGCACAGATGCTCACAGCATAGCTTTTATTTGCTTTACGTTGGGCTTTCATGCACTGATTTCTCCACTGCTCATTGCCTTGATTTTTGTACCAATCGCAGAATTTTGTACCAATGCAGAAGCACAGAATCACGTATGTTGGAAAAGATCATTAATCCAGCATTGATGGCAATGTAACCAGTAACTTATGTCCCTAAGCACCATATTTGCATGTCTTTTGAACACTTCCAGGAATGGTGGCTCCACCACTTCTTCAGACAGCCTGTTCCAATGCTTGACCACTGTTTTGGTGAAGAAATTTTTCCTAATGCCCCCTCTAAATCTCCCCTAGCACAAATTGGGGCTGTCATACTGTGGGTGTATAGTAGATGTGCTACGATCTAACAGTAATTMGTTTGCTCACTTTACATTCATATGAAAGCAAGGCAGAGGACAACAGAGAACTGTGATCACAATATAAAAATTGTTAAATAAAATACATTTCAAGTATGTATTAATCYAGAAATTAAATTAATTAAATTATTCAGKTTATTCAARTTATCATCTAAATTTTATCTCAGCATAGAGATAGGTAGTAGAGCTATGTTTACTGGTGAATGTAATTAATTTTGTGGTTTATAAGCWTAAATTTCTCCAGGGATTGTTGCAAAATCCCTATGTGATAATTTGCATTTGTATTCAAACTTAGCTTGAAAAAAAGAAAGGAAAAAATATATGGAAAGTTGTTTTTTAATCAAGATGTGGAACAACCTATATTCTCTAAATTTTGTGGACCTCTAAGTCTACATATAAAATACTATAATTTTGTTGAATATGAAAATATATACAAAAATAGGCATTGTAACCTGAGGAAAATCTTCCAGCTTATTTAGTGCTAAGAGCATAGTTTGGTTCCTATGAGGGTGTAAATCTTCAAAGATATTAAATTTAACAGAACTCTTTTGGTTTGGAGTTGTTTTTGGAGAAGGGCCAAATGCTGGCAGATAACCTGATTAGTGTAGACATTCCTACCTGTAAAATCATTSTCTTTTAAGGGTATAGATCACTTGAAGTTAGACTAAGAACATCACTTCATGTAATTACAGCATCTTCAATACTTAGTTCGTGTAACTCAGCATTTTGGTCAATTGAGTGCAGCRAACAAATTCAAAATGTGGAAAGAACTACTGAAAACAACTTGTGAGCTTTAGTTTAATGATGTCTACCCTCCCATCTCATWACAGACTATTCAAGTTAGTGATTTTGTCTTTTGGAAAGTGAGTCTGGTTCAAAGAAAAGGACCTAAGACAAAGTTTAGGGATTTTTTTTTTTGTTTTTTTAATTTTAAGATTGACTAATCTTTATAATTTTCCACTGACCAATTTACTGGGTAATGGAGGAAAAGTAAGGGGCAGCATGTAAGCCCTCAGTGTAGTACAGTGCATTGTTTCTTAGCTTAAAAGCAGCAGGGGGAAATCCAAATGTTATTTGCCAAAACACAGTTTCCAAATGATTTTGATTGGTTTTGTTCACAGCTTCAGAGAGGGCACATTGCCGAGGCTGCTTTGGTACACCTTTATTTGGCCAAGGCAATAACCCCAGGCACCTGAACATGATGGGAATTGTGTGGCTGGAAAGGAGCTCAGCAGAGTGGCCAGGGAGTCCTGGTGAACACCAAGTTGACCACGAACCCACAATGTGCCCTTGCAGTTGGGAAAGCAAACATCTTCCTGAGCTGTATTAGGCAGGGTGTTGCCAGCAGATGGACAGAGGTGACYCTTGTCTGATCAGATATATCTGGAGCTCTGTGCCCAGCTCTGGGCTTCCCAGGACCAGAGAGACATGGATTTATTGCAGCACAAAGAGTCAGCCCTGAGTATGAGGAGAGGCTGAGAGARCTGAACYGAGSGACAAGTGAAGAAAACAGRGTTGGTCTCCTCAGAGGGCACTTGGTGACAGGGCAACATAAGCTGATGTACAGGAGGTTTATTTCTTCTGCACCTAAGAGAGCTCCCACTTTTTCTCTGAGGATGGCACAGGTTGCCCAGGCAATCTCCATCCTGGGAGACATTCCAAGCACAGCTGGACACTGTCCTGGGCCACCTGCTCTTGCAGACCCTGCTCTCACAGGGGAATTGAAGTAGCCAATCTCCAGAGGTGCATTCTAGTCTCAGCTACTGTACAATTCTGTGATTTCATGGAGGTTAAATATATAAGAGAATATTTTTGTTGCMCTTCAGTGCGCATTCCCAGTGGTCTGTTAATAACATAGGAAAATTTGCCCACTTTCATCATTAAACTTCTGAAAAAGTGTCTTTGAATATTTCTTAAGCTGCTGGAATGTATTCTCTAACAGTCTGTAAAAAGTCACAGTTTGGARCCTTTAATTGTGTTTACAGAGATGAAAGAGGTAAAATAAGTGTTCTGTGCARTGAAAAAATGTAAGTGCAAATTTCAAAGTTTAAACTACAGGAAAATCTGAAAGTCAGAAGAGGCCTGTTGAGATCATCTGGTTCGACCTTCTGATAAAAGGGCTCTATGTTAGGTTATTCAGGGTCGCATGAAGATGAATTAGCAGGGGAAATTGTACCATTTCCCTGGCTGTACATTCCATGATGAAGAATACTTTTCTTATATCCGGATGAAATTTCCCCTGAAACAACCTGCGCTCCTAGTCTGTTGTCTTGTTGCCATGCATAGTGCTGAAGAGAGAGAGAGCACCTTCATCTTCTCTAGAGCTGGTTTTTTTTTTTTTTTTTTTTAGTTTTTGGAAGACAGAGATCCCCCCACAAGCCTTCTCTTCCATGGGTTACCCAAACACGTTACCTTACTGGCTCCTCTTTGAATGTCAGGTTGTCCAGTCCTCTCCCTGCCTTGGTGACCCTTTGCTGGATTACCTACATTCTTTCTCTCTTTTAAACTGGGGGAAATTCACTCCACGTAGCCCAGATTGGCATGTTTCTTCTGGTAAGATTTAGCAGCAAAATTGGATTTTTCCAGAACTCTATGAGGATGTCTCAAGGCTAGTTATAAGTATCAAAATATGTTTCCTAAAGTCTAAAGAGAAATAAATTTCACTTTTATTGGATAATTTTTCAGGCTAGTGTRGAAAAGAGTCATAAGGGTAATGTAAAGTATAACAAGTTTGAAYGTATTCTGGCTGGAGACAAGGGGTATTCTGCCATTACCTTCATGGAAGTAAGGAATGACAAATGCATTTATAGAAGATGTGCTGAACTGGAACTGTGGATAGTTGGACTAAGAAAATCAGTCAACTTCTTGTGAAACAAGAGAGCCTTAGGGCAGCCTAGGGTGAAAAATAAACCCTACAGCAGCCTCCAGGAGAACAGACCTTTTTGCTGCCAGTATACAACTTCCCACCTGAGAGGCTGCTTGCCTGCTTTTATATGGGGAATTAGTCTCAATATTTTTGTTGAAAGACACTGCAGTGAGACATAATAAACACTCTCCTTATTGTGTGAAGTTTGTCTGCATTCCTCCCTTGATACTGKTTTTCTTTTAAGGCTAAGACTTGCTGAAATAATTTGGACTCTGGGTTTCTGTACCTCAYTTTTGTAGGAAAACTTGGAAGATAATAAGGAGTTACATATAAGTCTGTCAGGTAATCAGCAGTGTTAACAAGAGTGCTCTTCCCCCTTAGGAAAATAGAGTGATTAAATCAGCCAGTGTTTAGGTTTGCCAAGATATAGGTAATACTAACCTTGTGCCTGTGTCTGCTGCTAAGTATGGAACTGACAGGATCTGATCCTCAGCCCTGAGGTCAGTGGTTTCACACTCCCCACAAGATTGTTTTGAGAACACTAAAGGCAAAGGTCCACAGCAGAGCCAAGAAATACCTTCCTGAGCATGGTGCATGAGTATTTATTTGGTGCTTGGGTTCTCTGGCTGGACCCCTTTTATTTATAATATAGATGTGTTCCTGGAATTTAAGSCCTCCCCTCAGAACTCGTGTTTGTCCTTAGGAATAAAAAAGGAAAGAAAAAGGTCAGAGAATCATCTGTCGGGTATTGGTTTCATGATAGCGCTTGGATCAATCATTAACAGGTTCTAGGAAAGGCATCAAAACTCAGGGAAAATATCTGTTATCAAAAGGAAACCAGTGATGTTGGTTTATGGAAGGAAAGTGAAGAACCTTTTCTTGAATAGTAGTTGCTGGTCCTATTTCTGTGTGGTCAYTTGGTGTACCTGTCAAAGTTGTCCAGGCAGTGCATTTGAAATGTCCCTGTACCTAATAAGGAATAAAACTCAGGGTGCTCCTTAAACCTTGACTGAAGTTTTTGGATACCATGCTCTGGATATGATTGTAACTGAAAACATTCCTGTGTTGAYAGTCACAGACAAATCACCCTGAGGTGAGGGAATACATGTAGAGTGAGAGAAGGGTGGCTGCAAAGTGATTTTTATGATGCGCCATGCAATCTGGTGCTTTTCCTTTGCAAACTGTAAGCTCTTGTGAAGTGCAGCAGAATGTCAGTTTCCATTAAGAAGAAAGCATCAGTTGTATGAGAATGATCAGCTTGAAAACATGGCCTTGACATTCAAGAACACAAGTCTCTTAAATGCCTTGTCTTAAGAATGATGCGGCAGTTCCTGATTTTGAATGATGTGTCAGTAGCAGAGGAGTATTTCCATTCTGTTGTTGGTAGCATTGCTGAGTGCTGTTCAGTGAAGTGGCTGTTCCAAATCACACCCCAAGCAAGCATCCAGACTCCTCTGTGACCAGAAGAAAGAGTTAAGTCTGGATGGGTACTAAACATGCTTGGCTGCCCCAGCTGTGTTGAGGATAGACTTGCTTTATAAAGGGTACAGCTGCTGGTATGGCTGCGCAGGAATGATCTATTTACACCTGGTTCTGTCTTAACAACTGTACTTTGAATGCATTTTGTTATTTCTTTTTTGTTACTCAGAAGTGGTGCTTAATATATTTAATATTTTTAGTGCCCTACAGATACCAAAGCAACGTTTGGGGTCCACCTAAAAGTAGTAGGAGACTGGACAGGTATGTAGAAAAACAATTCATTTTTCAGAGACAAATGCCTTTACTTGAACTGTTCTCACTTTCTGGCTTCAGCACACTTGTTCCTTGACTGTGGTGTATTCTCACTAGAGATTGCTCATGCTTGTTTTCCCAAAGTTGTTTTGTCACATTCTTGATGCAATCCCTGCTTTATTCAGTCGTACCACTTCAAATAATGTTTTTCCAACTACTAACAGATCTTCTGATGGCACTGTAATAATTTTCAGCATTCTTCTATTTCTGCTTCTTTTTCTTGTTTTTGGGTAGCCTGCTACCCCTGTGCAGTGCAGTGCCTCTGTGCATGGTAGTGTCTGCAGAAATGCTGAAATGTGCAGCTCCCAGATAAGCGGATTTTGATGCCAACGGTTTGGATGGCAGCCAGGTTAATTAACGCCTGTGGTACACTGAGATTACAGGTTTGCTTTCATGTTCTTCCATGCTCTTCCACTGCTCTTTGAATGTCCTCCAGACCAGAGGCATRAGCCAGGATTCCCCGCAGAGAATGGCAATTTGGTGCCCCCTGTGACAGCTGTATATTCAAGTGATAGTTGTCCTTATTCCTTAGCGCCTGACTTTGTTCTTGCTCAGCATAGCATTTCCTTGTAAGGAAGACAGATACACAGCAGGGTCTGGTTCATTTCTTACAAAGAAATGTTTTCCATGTTAATTTGTATCAGCTTTGTGTGTTTGTGGAATTGAGTCAAATGAGCTTGTGGCCCTAAWAAGGATTAGACCAATGCAGAGATAATACGTCCATGCATATTTGTTGAACTTTTAGTCTGGCTGCATACTCGCCTCTGCAAGACCTCAATAGGCAAAGGCTGGGAGGGTAATGCCATATGCTCATGTGTTCCATAATCATCCTGATTTTCTCTTCTTGCTTGAAGTGTTGGCCAGACAGGRGCAGATTAGCCTGTGGTCTGCCTCAGAATGATGGCTCTTTTGTTGTTAAGCATCGTTCCTACATGGGAAATGGCAGTAAGTTATTTGGAGACGTGGGGTGTAGAAGTACCAGCTAAATGAGTTTTCCAAAATAAGTGGCATCTTTAAAGTTTTCTGGTGACCTCTGTGGTGCGAATTGCTCTATTCTAGCATTTAAGTATCATTYTCCCAAGTCAGTATCTGTAGGCTCCACTGATAGGAAGGTCTGTGTGGGTTGGACTATGTGAGATTCAGGACACTGTCACATTACAGAGACTGTTCATTGCAGTGGTTTTGCTAAACAGAGATATCTCTCCCAGTGTCAGATGTGCTGTCAAGAAGCAGACAGTTTACCCAGCCCTTTATGCTGCCTCAGTACCATGGATTCCTGTTCTCACTCATTCCCTTAAGGCCTGTGACAATTAAAAGTCTCTAATCTGCTGGCTGTTTGAGGAGGGATTATTATATTTGCCACGTTCCTTATTATCTTTCTTAAGCGTGCTCTAAAGGCTGCTTCTGCAGACAGGATATTAGACTGGAGGAGTTTTTATGAGACATACTGTCATTTGAGCTCTTCTCATGACCTATTCTCTCAGCCTTTATCCTATTTATTAAAATTCTCTTTTGTATCACCATTTCCTACTCCTGACACATTATACCTGACACCAAAGAGAGTTGATGATTTATTTCAGAGAACTCAGTTACAAGCCTAAATTAAAGGGATGCAAGAGAGGTGCAGATATGCCATGAAATGCAGAGAAGACCTGGTTAGTTGAGGTATTTCTCCTCTGGATAGCTTTAGCTTTTGCTGCCTGCACCTGGGACTTSTAGTGCAGGAACAATTTCCTGCCCCTAGCTGTGAGGACAGGAGAGGAGGTACAGATAGCTAGCAAACCAATTCTGCAAGTTGTTTCAGGTCAAGTCTCTTAACACTGACTCTGATATTTTGAAAATGTAATAGAATACCTTGTTTTGTAGATTGGGAAAGTAACTGCATGTTAAGAGAAAAGGGGTATTAGTATTTTCATCTCCTGGTGAGAAGTTGCAGTTGATGGGAAATCATTTATTGCCCATATCCCTGTGTATATCATTTTAGATTTCAAATAAAATRAGGTGAAAGACGAGGCTTTTGGAAAAGTCAGTCATTCTAGAAATAATACTTTGCATAGGAGCARATATTTAGTAGATTGTCAGGCAATACTGTTATTTGCTTTTTAAAATAAATTATTTGAACAATGGAAAACATAGGACAGAAAAAGTAAGAGAGGAAGGAGCTACAGAAACAGTAGCTCTGACACCTTTGCAAACTAACTGGTAATCTAGACCCCAAATCAAATCATGCTGCATTTGAATGAAATGGTGCTGTCTGAGCTTAGAMGAGCTGGGAATTTGCCCTCCTTGGTAGCAGATTTGGATAAAAGCACGTATTTCCCTTCCATTATGTAGGCACTCACATCCTTTTCCAATACAAAGCTGAGATCTTCTATTTCTCACCCATGTTGTGGTGGTATTAATAACTGTATATTGCTTAACTTTCATGTTCATCACAKAAAACAGACACACAGATGCTGGTATTGCTGTAATGTGCCCTCAAGATGCCTTTGTGGCACGTACTTTCACCTGATATGATTCCCATAGCTCCCTTTGTGGACTTCTGAGCTGTTTATATGTCGAGTGTAGGATAAGAAAAGCCAGGCCCCAAGCATGCCTTTTTCTCTTTGTTCACTGTAAAGAGTGTTTAGTTAATTGGCAATTGGCTGTGATTTTTGCCATGTAAAGGTTTCTAATCTGATTTTTCCTTCCATCTTTCACCATGTGTCATGGGTATTGTGAGCAGGGGAGCAGCTCTTAGAGACTTCCCTAAAAACGGGTTTGTGATTATGCAGTTGCTGTCCTTGTGCTGGCATGTGGCTGATTAATTCAGCTCCTGTTGTGTTTACAGAACATTCCGTGGCACTGTGAAACCTGTGGCTGCAGAACACGGCTGAGTGCCCAGCCAGGGCTTAGGTGCCCAAGTGAGGATGTGTTTGCAGTGGCTGATCTGGGGTGATGGCACATGTGCAGGTTGGTTTAGCCCTGTGGCACAGAGCTGAGTCAGCCTGGCTTCCTCTTTGGCTTCCTCAAGCTGAGCTGGTGGATGCTCAAACCCTACAGGAACATCGAGCATCCTGCAATGGCTCACACACAGGTCAGGGCTGTGAGATACATGGATGAGCTAATAAGCTGATCTTTTACTGGCCTCCCCTATAAATACCTGTTTTCTTCTGCTTCTCTTGGTACCTATGGTCACCTATTTTTCCTTCAGCTTTGAAGCAATTGTTGGCTTAGTAGTTACAACAGGATTTTTTTAATGTTTTTTTTGTCCCACTTACTGTCTGGCTTGTCCTCAGCGTTGTCATCTATCAGCCTTATGTCTCTTCTGTCCTTGCTGCTGCCTCAAGTACTACTGCTTGTTTAGTTTAAAAGCTGACATTTCATCTGGCACCTCTGGAGGGAAAAAGAGAGGCCATGGGCCATGCCTCACATCCAACAACTTGACAGCGGTGAAAAAAGGACATGGCAGCGTATCAAGACAACGTGTCTCATTCACTACATGAACTTCAGGGTGTGAGACAGAAAGTGATATTGATGATGCAGAAAAAAACAGGCTTCAGAAGCCATCCAGCATGTTTTTGTGGAAAACAAATACATGGCACTCAGAGGTGCTGAGGTGAACTGCACGCCTTAAGGCAGTGAAACATTGCTGTTATGTTGCAGGGTGTTGCKGGTACAAATTGATCTGGGACCGTGTTTAGAACGCTGATGCCGTTCTGTGCCCTAYGGTAATTTTTATAATTTTTATCTTGTAGCGACATCAACCTGCTGTGTAGTTGTGTATATTCCTAGAGATATTTACAAGGCCTCTCTTGAGATGCATGATATTTATTGTGGGGATGCCATCAGAGCCCTTGAGTGCCACCCATTGAATCTGAGAGTTCTRTCCCATAGGTCACTAAACATCATGGCAGCAGGAGGTGGTGGTGTGTGCAGGAACTGTCCAAATAGAGGCAGATCAGAGAGATTATGGAGTACTGTTCAGCTTCATCCTGATAAACTCCAGATCTGATCAGAAAGCAYGTATCTTTGCTGAATTCTTTATGCWACAGATGAGGTTATGCCTGGTCACTAGGTCATTTAGGTACAGACTACCTTATTTTGAATCCTGACAGCATATGATGGGAATTTTTCTCACCTATTGCCACAATTATTTTTCTGGAAAGTCTAACTTTGGAGCAGGAAGTTTCAGGAGGGAAAAACAAACAAACCATTTTTCGTTTAAAAACAACAATTTTCCAGAACATGGCAAATGTATGAAAGCATGGATCTTGTTTAACTCCCTATGGACTAAGACCTGAGACAGCAAACAGTACACACCCCAAATGACTTGTTTTTAAACAGAAAAAAAAAGGAAGGCAGTTGTTTGGGATTTTGGAGGCTGACTAAGGATTTTTGTCATGTTGACCAAAAGAAGAAAATAACATACYTTTGAAGTGACTCTGAAGGAAGAATGAGCTGAACTTTCTAGTCTGAGAGGGTTTGTCAGGAGTGTCTGCATGACCTTGTTAAGCCCTTGCAGCTCCTGATTTAGAGGATGCCTGAAGCATCCCAAGGCTGTGCATTCCTGCACTTACCTGGAGTTTATCAGCAGGTGTAGGACCTAGCAAAGAGATAATATTTTATGGTCAGTAACCCTGAGAACAGTTTTAGTTGTACTGAARTATCACTAAGTCAGTATTTATTGGCAGTGAATTTTGATTCTGACTGGAGGAATGTGAGGAGCAGAAGATGACAAGAAGGAATAATAAGACTRCAAGGTCTGCCCACAGGAAGTGATGAGGTTGTCCCAGGCTCACTGTAACTGCTGCTGAGTTTCTTAAGAAATGTCCACTCACTGGTGATGAACACTTGGTCAAYTCTTTTGCTGTTACCACAAGCTCTGTTTGATTTGGGCCTTTTCCATTCCATAGTAACATTTTTTTGTGTCTAGTTGTTCCATCAGATTCCTGGCAGAGTGTAAGGTT